ATCTATTTTCCTAAAATGGATCATCTATATTTCCTTTCTCTAGCAGTTGCTAATATAATTTCTCATAATATGCTTATACACATATTTCTCAATTTATCAGCTTCAGAAATAAAGTAGTATATATTAAATCCCTGTATTAATTAGAAACCTTTTTGGCAAGTTACTGTAATCTAACCTAGTACTGTTTATATAAAAAATGGGTATTTGATAGAAAGCTATTGTGGTATCTAGTGGATTCCAAGAAAGATTTCATTACATGTGCCATAGGAAGGAGACAGATGTAGCTGGCCTTCAGGAACTACAGAGACTAAGAATTTCCATGTAATTGACACTTCCATTTTTTCTGCAGAGGCCACTGGATCTGCACGGTCAGGTTCCTTCTAGGCCCACTGATGAGGTTACATTTGATACAGTGCTTGTTTCTGCCATAATTGTGAGGGTAGATAGTCAAGGAAGGGGATGTGGTTTTCACAATAGTAGGGGTTTTGGAAAACAGTGATATTCCCATCAAATAGCTTCACTCTCAGGTTCCCATTGACCATTGGCTATTTGACTTCTGTTACTTATTAGTGGCCAGCCCTAGTTCTTCCTGCCCTCACTGTAGTCAATAACCCAACTTAAGTTTAGCCCTTCCACTGTCTGTTTTAGCTAAGCAGAGGCTTACTTACAATGCCTAATTTTCAGTAAAGACTCTCCATAGTGAAGGAGTCTCTGGCACTCTGAGAATCCCACAGTTCATAAATGCATCCATTTCTGCTGTTGCTTTTTAGTAGTCTCAGTGTGCAGACTACAAGCAGCAAGGATTGCTGGCTCCAGTGACACGTGCTAGTCCTGAAGTTCTTTCTCCTCCTGGTCAGGTATTTTGGAGCTAGATCTATCGTTTCCCCAACACACCTTACAAGAGCCACCATGCATGTTAGTTCACTTCCATGACTGCTCTCTATTTTACTTAGACCATAAGAAAGATCCAATTAAATCTGTTCTTCCTATATGGCTTCTCCTCTTGAAACCACTCTAAAGCTATACCTACAATATTCAAAGCACTTCAGTAAATGCAATGCCTATACCACAAGAATCAGAGATGACAAACATTTTACCACAACCAAGAATGCTTGCTTTCCAAATCATATTAGGCAAATGCCTGTTTCTCCCCACATTATCTCAGCACAGAGCTACATCTGTGTGAGGCTGTGGACAAAGATTTTTTTGCAGGGCCCTATCTTGTACATTAAAAAAATTGGTTGAAAATGTTTTTAAAAATTCATGGGCACATATGAGATATAGTGATCTTTCCATGAATATTTTCAAGGGGTTGAGAAGTACTTATCCAGTTGTTTATTATCCAATGAGTGCACATGAAGATTCTTCATTCTGAGTGGCAATCACCCCAAATCAGCATGTCAGCACCATTCTGGTGGTCAGATATCATGTGATTCCATGAAAGAAATACACCTCATCCAGTAGAAGTGATCTGATTGCCAGGCTGTCCTCCTGAAACTAGGATTCAACCATGGGGTCCCCACAGACATAAGTATTGGGGCTCATGAGGCATCTGGTTGACCTTACATGTTGGATAAAGTGTCAAAGAGTGCCTGGAAGAAACAGAGGCTAGAATTCACACAGGTCTTGGTCTAGGTTCGGGTGCCCTGTCCAAATAGCATAGCTAGCCTGTCCAGTCCTACACACAGAATTGTGATTTAGAAGATTTTGAAGAAGATGCTCCAGAGTGTGGGGCCCCATGAGCCAATGGGCCCTGGGCACATGTCCCGCTTGCCCGAGTCAGGGCAGAACTATACCAATGTATAGACCCTAAGGTCTATTTCTCATCACCTACTCCTTGAACTAGTTTAGGGGTCAATTTCTTACAAGTTGTGGAGTCATAAAAATATGCGAGTAGCCTTAAGTAATGGGAGTTTATTAAAAGGATGCTGCAGGCTTTTTTCTCCAGGTCTCTGCTGTTCTAGTATCTCCTTTCTGCTCAAGGTCTCTCATGTTGGCAATTTTCCCACTCTCTCCCTTCATCTCAACCCTCTTATCCCAAAGCAGAGCAGATCTAATTCAGTCAGTTTCTTACCATCTGATACGGAATGCTCTGATCAGTCATGCATGGCCAGTACAGCAGGATTTGTCCCCCTAAAAGCCCATCGCCACTTTTCTCAGAGAGGACTGTGTACCTGGCAGGCACGATGAGACTTCGTGGTCTGTCCAGTGCAAGGCTGTTGAGACGATTTATAAAACTGTCTTCCAGAAGGACAGTCCCAATTTACCCTGCCACCAGAAATACACAGGAGCACTCCATTCTCAGTGCGTTCACCAACTGTGAGGAGATTCATTCTTTTATGAATGATAAGCTGACATGATAGACAAAAATGCTACAGTATTGTTTAAATGTACATGAGCACTGGGTTAGTAGTAACATTGAATATTTTATCATATACTTGTTAATCAATTAAATTTTCTCTTGGGTGATGAATTACCTGTTTTGGTCCTTTATTAATTGATCTATTTAGAACTGATGTTTTTCATGTTTTTCTATTTGTGTGAGCTAATCATACATAACAAAGATATAGGCAATTTTTTTAGATGTATTTATAGTAAGAATCTTTTCCTTTCTCTTTTTGATATTAATTGCACTTAATTAATTAAATAATTGTCGGCTGGCCAGTATGGGCATCCAAACCCTTGACCTTTCTCTAACCAATTGAGCTAACTGTCTGGCCCTTGATTGCATATAAATGTTGGATAAATATATCTGAAGAACAGAATTTTTTGAATAATTAAAGCTATTAAATTTTAAATAATTTATTTTATAATTTTGGTTCTTAGAAAGTGCCCCTTTCCTATTTCTTAGATTTGTTGAACATTTATTTCAAATTTACTCTATTTTTAATATGGTCTTTGAAATATTTACTCTTTAAGTAAGTTAATTAAATAATTCTGGAATTATTTATTTAGCTAATGAGGTAAAAATCTAAATTCATATTTTTAACAAATAACTTACTAATTCTTCCATCTGCGTTAATTTACTGAAAAATGCTGTTAAATTTATTTGTGATACTACCCCTTTTTCTGTTATATATTTTTATACAAGAAAGAGTTTGTGTCTCAGTCTACTTCTGTACAAAGAATGTTTTAGACTGGGTTAAAATACCAACGTAAGAAGACTTTTCTTATTTAGTGAGCTTTAATAAGTTTAAAATTCTATAGTATAATTTTTTTTCATCCAAAGTGTTTTCCTGATTTATATCTGAGTTTTACAATTTCCTGACTGCTTGCCTTTTAAAAGAGTGTTTTCATTATCCAATAAATTGTGAATCAAAATTTGTACCAGTTTAATTTTATTTCATTACCAACAAAATATTTCAAATCAAACAAATATAACTTAAAAGGTCTTCAGTTTTTGCTTTAATTTCACATTTCATACACTGCACAATATTTACAAAATACTTACTTTGATTGTTTTATAACTGGGCGTGGGGAGGGGTAGGGGGCGGCAGCAGTTCTGCCAAATGAATAAATGCACCAGAGCGTTTCTGCTCTCATTTCCCTAATTTGAGAGATATGAAGCAGTTTTTACTCCCAATACAAATTCTAGATAAAAACCATACACTTTGCTTACTTCTCATGTTAAACACTAAGGATGACATGCAAGTAAAAAATAGTCTTGTTACTAAGTTAATGTTCTCAAAATCTTACTTGGCTATATGACAACTGCTGAATTTCCTTGTTAAAAGCCAACTTACAACAAATTGGTTCTCCTGTTACCTTTTTTTTGCTTTCTTCCTTCTAATCTTCTTCTTTCTTTCTCTTCCTTCCTTCCTTTCTTTCCTTTCCTTCTTTCTTTCTTTCTGGTGTATTTAACTAGAAAGCATCTATCTATAGACATTATCAAAAATGATTATCCTTGAGGAATGATGGATAATAAAGGTAATTGAAGATAATCAAAAAGATAGATGAAATCTTTTATTTTATGAAAAATTTTACATTCTCAAGCCATATTCAGACACTTAGTTGTGATCACTGCATTGTAAAAACTAAAATGAGCACATTTTCTTCATTGAAAATTCCAGTGTTCAGAGAAACAAACAAACAAAAAAAACCAGCAACATAAACTAAATATCCTCAGTATCAGAAATGAGCCACAAGCTTTTTGAATAATACTCCAGTGAATTTGTGTCCTTGAATGAAATGGCCAGCCACCCATATTTAGGCATGCATCCTGCTTTACATGGGTGGCCACCTGTGGAAGTGGACTCCTTAAATAACTATCTGCATCCACAACCACACGGCACAGTTTAATCACTGTGCGAAGAGTCAGACAGAAGTTGGGACTGAAATCACAGAGAAACAAATAGAGCCAATCCAGGAAGGAGAATTCTTCCTGGTTGATAACAAACTATCTCCACAGTAACATACTTATTTGTGAAGTTACAAGAGAAGATCCTTAAATAAAGTGTTTTCCCAGTTATAGATCTAAGAAAGAAAATTTGTCCCTTAAGAAAATGTGAGCTCAGTGTTAAATTCTTTTAGATTAAATGAATTGAATTTGTTGTTGTTGCTTTTCTAACAACATGACTACAACAGTGAAAGGTTAAATAATGATGTTAGTAAATCCATGGATTCTGCCTCAATGATGTGGATAACTATTCTTGAGAAAAGCACAGAAAAAGTCCACCTGGAAAAAAAAAGTGTCAAAATTGAAGCATGCTGTGACACCGAGTTCAGCTTCTTTTGCTTGATTCCCACACTTCTCATAAATGAGCAGAACCAAGGAACTTCAGAATCTCTTTTTGTCAATTATATCCACTGAAAATCCAAGGCTTTTGTCATTTATATCCATTAAAAATCCAAGACTGTAAAATGTCAACATGGTTTACTTGTCATTCTAAAAAAAATAAAATTAAAATTCCTTAAGATAAAAGATTTTATTAAAAAGTGACAGTGTAAAACAATTATCTGGCCAAAAGAAAAAAAGTGACACAGTGATTTTTTTCCCTTACAGTCACATTGAGAAGTGAATGAGGATTGTTAAGCCACAAATATCTAAAGTTTTTATTTTAATCTAAAATATATATACTGCCTCATAGCTGATTCTTAGATTACATTCACTTTTTTTAGATTACAAGCCTCACATTGAATACATAAATATATAACTATTTGGGAAAATATTACTTCTTTGTGAGACATGAAGAATAAAATGTACTCAAAGGAAATGCGTTTTGCATTAAAATATCCAACTTGCATGAGCATATTTCAACTGGTAAACTCATTACTTGTTGGATGACACCCTCAAAATTCTGTTTAGTCTATTTAAGATTTCCTTTCAATAAAAGACAAGAAAAGAAAGAAACAAATCTAAAAGCAAACCACCCAACTCAGGAATCTGGGAATGCCTTTATGATGGACTCATAGGCAGGTGGGGGTGGTGTTGAAACGCTACCTCGAAGACTGTGACTGGACCAGTGGAAGTCAGGATGGCTCAGAGTGTGGGAAGTGCTGATAGTGGGACAAGGACGGGAAGAAGGGAGAGTCACCAGCTGACTGTCAGTTTCCACGGGAAGTGGTGGACATTGCAGAAAGGGGTGGAAAGTAGAAGCTCTGAAGCTTGATTTTCTTGGAAAGGAATTCATTTGATCCAGAGAAGCTTGTCGCTGGAAAGTCAGACTGGCCAGGCTGAGGTTACTTCGACGTTCGCAGCCACTGTGGCGGTAAAATCCGGTTCTGTTGAGGCCATGGGTGTAAGAAGACCTAGCTCGCCTGCTGGAACTCCATTGTGAGATGGGAGCACTGGCTCTTCGTCTTCGGGACAGACAAACAAACAGAGCCCACATGGATCCTCCAATTATGAGCCCAATTGCTATGGATACCGTGAAGGACATTATAAGGTCCTCTGAAACAAAGAAAACAAATAGCTAAATTGATTTTTAAGTATGTACTCAACTGAAAACACAGGGCAGAGTATAAACTAATTCATAGACTACATGATTAATTTAAACATACTTTAATTAGGGAAATAGAAACGGTGCTAGGTGGACATGAACAAAGGAAGCTGATAATGCTTCCATTTATTCAAGCAGAAAGACACAAAATAAGTTTTTAGCTATAGCATTCCATGTTGCTCATGCTATTTTATCATCTTTAAGAAATAAGAAATAAAAATAGTCTCAGTAAGGCCATACTTTAGTTCATTGTAGAGGGTTAGAAATCTTGATTCTCATTTGATTTTTAGAACAGGGTTTTTAGGTAATGCATGTATGAGGCAATAATCTCTGGCCAGGGGGCAAAAGCCCACAGGTAGCATATCAACAGCCCATCTAATCAAGTCTAATCATTGCTTAGGTATGGGACTGTATACTTTAATGATTTTAGAGCTAACAGGTGGTTGTCATACCAATCCTGTTAGGAGATTTTAAAAATTGCTGAAGGGAAAGATGTGAAAAAATGTTTGCTAGGGGCAAGCTGTTGGTGGAAACTTTGGAGACAATTATACTTAGATTTTATCATAAGAATGTAACTTTTGCTTAAATCATTTAAGGAGAGGTTATATTTTAGATAATGATCATAGTTTTACTTAGATTTTATCATAAGAATGTAACTTTTGCTTAAATCATTTAAGGAGAGGTTATATTTTAGATAATGATCATAGTTTGACCAACTTAGCTTTTCACAAATTGTACTTTGGAATGTCATGTCACATTATTAATTTTACTGATTTACTAGTTTCCATTGTTTAAGCTATACTTAGCCATAGATAACTTTTGTCACACTGCCATGTCTTTGTGTCCTTTTGAAATGATTGAATCAACTGATTTTTCTTGTGAAACTTCCTTGTCTTTACAATAAAAAACAGAAGCTAACGTAGAATCGGGGCTGCACCCAGTTTCCTCCTTCTAACAGAGGAGTTGCTGAGGTGCAGCCCCTTCCGGCTTCTCATCGCACTCATGGTGCTTTGAGTAATCCTTTTTTTCTTTTTCCTTTTTGTCTTTTTTCGTGACCGGCAACGGATCGCAACCCTCAGTGTCGCGCCCGTACCTGACCAGGACCGGCAACGGGATCGCAACCCTCGGTGTTGCGTCTGCACCTCGCTCAGCCAGTGAGCTGCTGGTCTGTATGTGGGATCCGAACCCTCGGCGGGAGCGCCGCAGCACTCCCAAGCGGCGCACTGTAGCAGTGCGCCACCGGGCCGGCCTGAGTAATCCTTTTATCATCTTCGTTACACAGTGAGAAGTTTAACAGTTGATAAATTTTTAATGGAGATGAAAATGTAGTTCAAAGATTATTTCTTTTTGAGTTACAGCAGCAACTAATGTGCCAAGTTAAGAATTTTTTGTCACCTTGACTTTGCCTTTTCCTCTGCCTGCTTTCATCAATCACGTTGATTTCGCCCACCTGCAGTCTTTGTGATGCCTCACTTCCTGTGCTCATTCTGAGATAGGAAGTGCGGGGATAGAACCATCTGGTGAGCTGACTGATTCATGTCATAGTTCCTGAATTCCCGGACTGTCACCTATATCTCTGACTCCTTGGTGACATGACCTGTGTGTCCAGCTCATGCCACTATCATGCCCTTGTTGTGATAATGAAATTCCTGTCCCCCGAACCTACAAAGAGTCTCAGCTATACACTAGTATCGTCCAATTTGTAGAACTTGTATTTGTTCAGATATCCTGTTCTGGGGGGACAAACATAACTTCTCCAAATGGAAATGATACATTATTGCCTCTTGTGAACTAAAAACATATTCTTGAATGAAACTGGGTAGCTGAGCCCCAGCTTTGCATGGAAAGACACTCTGGATATAAGAAGACCCCTCCAGCTTCACTACCTACCGCATTTCCCCACCCTCCATCCAATGATCAAATCCACAGGCTATGTTGGTTTTTTTTTTTTTTTGTCTTTTTTTGTGTACGGCAATGGATCGCAACCCTCAGTGTCACGCCCGTACCGGACCGGGACCGGCAACGGGATCGCAACCCTCAGTGCTGCGCCCGCACCTCGCTCAGCCAGTGAGCGGGAACCGGTCTGTATGTGGGATCCGAACCCTCAGCGGGAGAGCCTCCGCGCTCCCAAGCGGCGCACTGTAGCAGTGCGCCACCAGGCTGGCCCCAATGTTGGTTTTCTCACTGTTTCAAAGTCTATCATTGTCTCTGAAACTCTATGCTTTTCTACATAATTTTTCCTTATATCTGGATACAATTTTTTTTTTTTTTTGTCTTTTGTCTTTTTTTGTGTCCGGCAACGGATCGCAACCCTCAGTGTCACACCCGTACCGGACCGGGACCGGCAACGGGATCGCAACCCTCGGTGTTGCACCCGCAACCTCGCTCAGCCAGTGAGCGGGAACCGGTCTGTATGTGGGATCCGAACCCTCGGCAGGAGCGCCACCACGCTCCTAAGTGGCGCACTGTAGCAGTACGCCACCAGGCCGGCCCTGGATACAATTTTTTAATCTTCTGTCTGGAAAACTCATTCTTCAAGATCCATGTCAAGTATTACCTCTCTGATAAAGACTCCTAAAATTTTCTACAGAAAAAGGAGTTACTGTTAAGTAGAGAGGAAAGCTACCCTATCTGACTGACTATCTAGGGATTCTGTATTGAGCAAGCCATAGACTGGAAATTAGTTAATTGGGGTTGTGAGATTGGGGAAGGTGAAGCAACAAACATTGTGCTGCTTCTCTCATCAAGAAGTAGAGTTTACTTCCCCACCCTTTGAATCTGGGCTGGCTTCATGGCTTGCTTTGACCAATCAGATGCAACGGAATTAAAGCTGTGCAAGTCCAAGACTCAGCCGCAACAGGTGTTTAGCTTCTGCCTTTGATGCTCTTGGGAGCTCTGCCATTGTCAGGATATGAATAGGCCAGGCTAGTCTGCACAGTTACAACTATTGGTGTGGTCAAAAGCCTGCTAGCCTCACATGAGAGTGGTATTATCCCCAGGTAATTCAGATGTTGGTCAACCCGCCAACTGGCTGTGATACATAAGCAAAGACCAGCAGAAAATCTACCAGCTGATCCCATTCCAAATTGTCAACCCACAGAATTGTGAGCTAAGTAAGTGACTGTTGTTGGAAGCCGCTATGTTTTGGGGTGAATTGTGACACAGCAAAAGCTCGCTTTTACAGGATTTGAAATTCAGTTCTTTCCCTAACATGTTGTGTGATTTATAGGGAATTTGTTTAGACACATACTGATTTTATTATTTTTAAAAAATGAGGGAGTTAGATTATATGATTGCCAAAGGTATTTCCAGCTTATTTTTGTAATTTATGATAACATATATAACATCCAGAATGCAGAAATTTTTTAAAAGTTAATAAATACATAAGAATAATTGTTGCTGCCTGATTTTAGGATATATTTTAGTGTCCTTCCACCATATACTGTCACATTTATCTTCTTGTGTCCTACTTTCACAATTATCTTTACAAATACTCATATCAAAATCCATTAAAATAATCATTTATATCAAATCTACACAATAAATTCTTTATAATAGAAATATGACTTCTGCATTATGAGATAATTTAGGACAGATCTGCTAGGCTCAGTATTGTTATTCCAAAATGTGTCTCATAAAAATAATATTGAGTCATAGACATAAAAATGCAATCTCTTCAGACAGGATTTCATAGTTAACCAGAGCAAATAAATATAGTCAGAACTTAAAATCAGCTTTATTGGGAATACAATACAATTACAAATTAAGTTTAACTGTCACTTCCCAAATATTTGGAACCTAAAATTCTGCTTAAAAAGAAGTTATGGGAATTATGCATTGCCAAGGCAATGGCAGCCATGAAAATTAGAATTTCCCAACATTTCTTCCAAAAAAAGAGAATAACAACAACAGTAAAACAAATAAAACCATATAAAATCCATGCCATCAGCAAATTAGAAAATTTCAAGGTTGCCAAGGAAGGAGACGTTAGCCAGGTGGAGGAAGAAAAGATTTTATTAGCAAGTGGCAAGGGGACCTGGCAGACTGAGCCAAAAAATGCATCAGTGCAGAAAGGCAGTTGGGTGTCTTTTCTAGGGTTAAGATTAGCATCTGCCCTAGCCTAGGAAGACAGTTGCAGTCGTTCCATTCCGAGTACAGCTTGCTCATGGGAACAGAGACTTAGGGAGACAGAAAACCTGGCCCAACCCAGGGATACAGTTACAGTGTTTCACTCTGGGCACAGCTCAGCCTGCTAATGGAAACCGAGTCTTAGGGAGATAGAAACTTAGGGGAAGGAAACTTAGAGAAACAAAACCAAAGGGTAAATATAGCCTTTCTAAAAGTCAGGTTCTCAGTCCCAGAGACCTAACAAAAATAAAGAACATCCAAACTTCAAGTTACCTAGAAAATGAACAATGGAAAAACAGCTACCGGTAAAAGTCTTGATGGGAAGGAAGAGCAATTCTGGTAAAAGTAGAGATAATGAAATGGTATAGGAAGGGGATTACAAGTGTATATAGGAAGGTGCAAGTAATCCCTCCCTGAGAAGGAAGAGGCCAAAGAATCCAATCATAAAAGATCACTTATTTTATGATTCCACTTCCATGAAATGTCCAGAACAGGCAGGATTATAGGCATAGAAAGTAGATTAGTGATTGCCTAAGGTTGAGAGGGGACCAACGGGAGGAAATAAGAGGGAATGCTAATCGGTATGGGGTTTCTTTTTGAAGGGCAAAAATGTTCTTAAATTAGACTATGGTGATGGTTGCACAACTCTGAGATTATAATAAAAAACATTTCATTGTATGCTTTAAGCAGGTGGATTATATAGTATGTAAACTATATCTCAATAAGGCTATTTTTAAAAAGAAAGAACAGGAGAGGTGGTCTTTGGAAACCACACAATGAAAGGAAAAAGAGGCAAAATGAGAGGAAAACTCAGGATTCTTCG